GGTTTTTTTGTTTTTGGGGGGGCCCCCCCAAATTTTTTTTTTTTTTTTTTTTTTTTTTTTTTTTTTTTTTTTTTTTTTCATGAATGCGCATGTCACAAATATTGTGCTGTACAATAAAATACCAAGTCATATGAGTTGTATTATTTTAGGATTGTTATGAATTTAACAATACTTATAAAAATATTTGAAAATTGTGAAGTTATACAACATAGTTATTGGTATTGGGGACGAATTAAACCTACAATGCATACTTCATACCTGTTGATTTTTTTTTTAAATAAAATCTTTTCTTTTTTAATAAAATCTAATATCATGTAATAAAAATTATTACATATGTGTTTGAAGAAAGACAAAATGAGTATTAATATTTTGTACATTCATTAAATGAGGGCTCTTGATGTCAACATTGAATGTGAACACTGAACAATTTGTTAGTCCTACGGTTTTTCAATAAAATAACTTGAATAAATTTATTTAGATCATCCATCAAGCACACATGCCACCGTATAACTAAGGTATTCTACAACAAAACGGCATCAAATCATAAATGTAGCTGTATTTTGTAAATGAAGCTGTGACGACGTCTGATAATCTGATGCGGAACTTCCTGCATATCTTCACAATAAGAGCTGAAAGCCACTTTGAACTTCAAACATACCTCATTAAAACTAAATTAACTTGTAAAAATACAACAGTCTTAGTCAGTGGTGTCCAAACCTCTAGAGCTGCAAGTTAAAATCATGTATCTTTGAAAATGCAAAAAATAACTTTGGCATAAATTCTTTTTACCTGCCCAGCAATAAATGTGACATGTAATGTTTAATGAAAAAAGTAGAAAACAATAAATTATTGTAAGTGGAAAAAGTATTTTTAAAAATAGATATATTCGGTTTCCTAACTATTTTAACAAAGTTTTTTCCCCCTTAAATTTTGTTGGTTATTACAATGTCTTTAGATTCCTCTTATCAACAAAAACAAGAACTTTCTTTAAAAACAAAAATCTTGCTGTGTTTAGCGAAGTTTAATGATTGTGTCTGCTCTGGAGTAAAAAGTCACCATGTTGTAACAACATTAAAAAGAAATAAATAAAAAAAACGTGTTACACCGAACATTTTCCCTTTAAGTTACAGTTGTAAAATGATATTAATGTCATCCTAAAGTAGCGTCCGTCTGCATAAGCATAAGCCTAATTAAAGTGGAGATCTCTCACACTGCCTTCATCAAACCTTTCCAGCCACCCTGATTGGTGAGGTCTCAGCCAATGAGGGTGGGGCAACATGGAGGCTAATTAGCATACCTATGCAGCCCGATAAAACTCCCGCAGCTTCACCTGAGCGCCAGACCCAAGGAAGGAAAACAGGAGGAACCTGACTGGTCCTCTCCTCTCACCTCGCTGTGGAAGCACGCGGGGCCAGCTGCCGCCACCACCTGGGTTCTTGTGCGTAAATGCGCACAGCCGAACCAGAACTTTGCGCTCTCTCAGGTGGATCCAAGGCTCAACCCGTCGGCCAGCTGGTGATTCCCTCACGCCCGGTTCCCGCCGACCCGTGTCCGCTCCGAGCCAGAGTTCCGGGTGCCCCATGAGGCTGGAGGCCGCAGCCAGGATGGACGTGTTCAGGAAGCTGTGGAGGGCCAGGAAACTGATCGTGGTCGTGTTCATCCCGCTGTCGCTGCTGCCGCTGCCGCTGGTCCACCCCACCAGCGTGAGTACAGTAAACCACTTTACCCCCAAAAGCATCCAAACAGGTGGAGCTTTTCAAAATAAAAGCGTGCCAAGGAGTTAGTTTGCATATCGTCGCCTTCCTAAAATAGTGGCATAAATCATTTTGTGCCAGAAGTATTTATTTCTTAATTTTTTTTTTATTGTATTTTTGCCTAAAACATCTTCTGGAAAGGGGAAAAATTGTGATTTTAATTTAGGAAGGTGACCACATGTGGATGGATGTTTAATATATACACTGAATGACCGGTCAGAATTAGTAACACATGAGAATATTAAAGTCCAGGAATGTAACATTTTGCAAATTCCTCTGGAATTAAGATTAAGCTGGTTTAGGTTATTAAAAGTCTCAATAAATCCATAATCTAGGATTTGATAACTACCTGCTGCTGCCTGTGTGTGTTCCTCCTGGTGGCCGCACATGGCTCCACAGTCCTGATGGGAGCTCCGTTTCTCTGAGTGTGTGTGTGTGTGTGTGTGTGTGTGTGTGAGAGAGAGAGAATCAATCAAAAGGCACACTGTCCCTCTGTTTGTCCTGCGCTGTCCCTCTCCTCAGCTGATGAGTTGTGCGCGTGTGTGTGTGTGTGTATTGAGGGGAGACATCGCGACATGGTGATGAGATGGAGATCAGTTCTGAGCTGAAACTTGAGCTTATTTAGGCGAATGTTTGCCTTTTTTTTTGGTCTTTAAATAATAATAATAATAATAATAATAATAATAATTGTGTTGCTCCAGATGAAACATTCCTGACAGATTTTCAGACTTTGTTCCAGAAGAGATGGATCTGGTTTGGTTAGAAATGGTCGATTCCAGGAGCTCCTACTCCAGAGCGTTTGGAACAATTCAACTCCTCACTGTCATGAAAGTCGTTTTCTGGTTTATCTGAAACGACGACAAATTCAATCAAAGTGAATTTCTGATGACATTAACCAGCTCCCAGAGATTAGACAAAGCTCTTCCATACATTCCTGACACTTACTGTGCTGCACTGTGTGAGAACTGGACTGTTGGAATACATTCTATTGGATTTAAACTGGACTTTGAGGAAAAGTTGTAAATAGTTCTGGGTCTTTTATATGTAGATCTGCTGCTGATGTTTATAAAAGACAGTTATTTAATCTGTCTGATAGAAATGGTCTTTATTGTTCCACAGAGGAGAAATTCAGGAGATTGTATGACAAAAATCTCGCCTCAAGACAATGAGTTATTTCAAAACTAGGTTGAGTAATTTTGACTTTTTCAAGTGTTAAAATGACTCAATTTCTTGTTGAACCAACTCTGTAAAGAGTTAAATTAACACCAATTCTGATAAGGACCAAATAGACTCGGCATAGTGTTGATTTAACTCTGCAGAGTCTGTATGAAATGTATTTTACTTATCGTGCTGCACAGATGATCTTAATGAAATCGAGACAAACTATCTAGATTAAAAAGAAAATGTTGCCATGGTGACAACGACTGGGTTTGATTACGTTTTCAGTTGTTTTGTCTTCTCATCTTGTCCGGATGGCTCATGGCCCCAAATAATCTGCCAAACCACTTGGCATGTGGCCAAACATGTTTCCAGTGTTTTTGTTTTTTTTTTGTCTTAGAAATAATTTGGCATAAACGGCATCTATGGCTTTCTGTGTCACTCATTGACCAACGGAAACCTTTGCAGTTTTTATTCCCTTCTTCTCATCCACTGACTGCAGGGTTTTACCCCAGAAAATCTGCTAAGCCCGGCGGTATGGCCGCTACGGCGCCCCGGCCTGTTTGTGTTGGGGGGGAAAAAAACATTTTAATTTACCAAAATTCTGAGGTTAACGAGTGGGTATAATAATTCAGAAATAATGGCGTGTGAGGAAAACTGGCAGGTGTGGTTCAAAGTACCAAACTATAAACCTAGCTTAATGGGAAAGTTTGGAGTCTTTCCCATTTTGAAGAGTATAGCAGCTCTAGTTAAATTAGAGAGTAAAGCAATGCTTGAAAATCTGGTTTATTGATATTTTTAAGGGACTGCTAAAGTTAAAAACAGTTTCTTCTTAACATAAGATTTTTCTCCCCTTGTTAGATGAATGTACTTTTTTTTTTTTTTTTAGGTTTTTACAGTTTAAGGGATCTACTATACAGCGGGTGTCCTGGTTGTCGAACTTTATTATCCAACGTCCATGTTGTTACGTCAGTGGTGTTGGATGCTTGGCACAGGACGTGGCCATTAAAGCACAAAGTTAAAAAAAACAAAACAAAAAAAAAACTTCATGACAAAGGGGGGAGAAAAAAAAAACAACAATCCGTGCAATTAAGTTACATAATCAACCCACCTCCATGCTGGATTTTGGCCCCCACGTGGCTTCGTTACGACAACGCGGACCTCAGACTGCGTCAGGAATGCGACAGTTGTTCAGAACGATCCTTCCTCTGTGTGTGAGTGTGTGTGTGTGTGTGTGTGTGTGTGT